ATTGGTTGGGAATTGATGTTACACCCACCATATAGCCCTGATCTCGCGCCATCGGATTACCACTTATTTCGATCCCTGGACAACTCCCTTCGTGGTAAAACTTTTAACGATGATGACGCTGTAAAATCTCACTTAACTCAGTTTTTGGCCGAAAAGGATCAGACTTTCTACGAGCGTGGAATTTTCAAGTTGTCAGAGAGATGGCAAAATGTCATCGAACAAAATGGAAAATACATTACAGATTAAACTTCATTCCAAGTAAAAAAAAATTTTGTATTTCATTGAACAAATCGGCAATTACTTAGTTGCCAACCCAATACATACACGCGTGTAGTTTTGTATACAGGGTGTTCATCGTAACGGTCGCCACGATTTTTGCGGCATTTAGGCCAATCTGACAAAAAAATGTTTCGAATAAGAGTTATTCAGTACTTCGATGGGAATAAAGCGCGTTAATAAAAATTGCGACAAACTTTTTTACTCAATAAAAAACTAAGGTCACCATGACTTTTTTAAATAGCACTATGTATTTTTTTAATTCCAAATGACCCTGTGAGGCTCGAATAATCATATCATCCCTTCTCTAGTTGTTCACTTTTTGTTTACAAGCTGAGGGACAATTGGAGAGAATTTACTGCACAGCTAAATAATTATCATAAATGAAAAGCTATAAAAGACTTTTAGTTTCGATGCTTTTATTTCAGTTACGTTCAAATATTTTTGAGAAATTCTCTGTAGCTTGATATCAAGCGACTTACGTCCGATCCTCATGGATTAGCTCAGAGTCAGTGTTTACATAGGAAAGACCATCATGCCAACAGCATTTTACAATAAATCTTGGGCAAACTGATGCAAATGTCTCTTCGAACGTTATCCGAACATGACCGACGCGCACGTCACAACTACTTCACACGATGCTCCGCATCGCACTATTCGCCCCAGCCGAGCATTTAATTCCGCGCGATAAGCTATGCAAAACGCAGAGATCATCGAATGCATGCTAGAGTAAGTGTGTCAATTGCTGTGACCAATAATACTAGGTTTACGGAGCACAAAAAACAGCTGTTTTACATTGTTGTGGCAAGTGTTATTGTAACATTTGCCGTAAGTAACATGTAAATTGAATAAATAACTCACAAATGTATCTTTACGATGTGAATAGTGACCCGCCATTTTGACGGGTTCCCTAAATTTAGTGTTACAGTGACGTCCGAAGTTTTCGACGAATTAAATAGTTTCTTTTTCCTATATCGTACTTCTTACTAAATTTAAATTATCTGTCGATGTCTTCTATATAAGTACGAATTTTTTCCTAAGTGAAATATACAGGGTGTTCTCCGCCTAAACCAGGTCACCCAGTTATTTCCTCCAATAATGATACTACAAAAAAAGTTTCATATCGAATGTAACTGATATCAAAAAAGAAACGAATACGATGTTCAAAATAGCTTTCTCCGAGGTCATTTTTTCCGCATTGATGTTAATTTGCAGAATAAATGCAATTTTTTGTATTGCACTGTGTACAACTCCTGGCAAAAAGTTTCCCATCGTATACACTAATATACAATTTACAAAGAATATTGACTTTTTGGAGTTATAAAATGTGTCTTATGTTCAGGTAAGACGAACGGGGAACGTAGATGGAATCTAAGTAAAGTAAATAAATACAAGATATCTCAATCTCTCTTTCTCATTTATTATCAAGAAGAAACCACGGAGAAAACAAAATGTTATGCGAAAAAAGTTTCCGATCGGTACAAATGTCGGAAAAAGGTTCCCGATCATTGAGTTATTAATATTTTGTTACATTACACCACGTGCTCGTATGACACTTTTAATGCGTTGGGGCATTGACCTTGATAAATTTTCACAATCCTTAGGCGAAATTCCTTTCCACGACAATTTTATCGCATGTCGAAGTTCCCCTTTAGTATTCGGTTTTTCTCGTAAATCAATTTTTAAAATTCTGCCCACATGTTCTCGATTGGGATTCAAATCGGGATTGTTCGTAGGCAGCTTCAATGTTTTATTATGATATTGCTCTAAATAGACTTTGACTAATTTGCTGCGGTGACAGCTAGCGTTGTCATCTTGGAAAATGAGATCTGAAGAATCTTCGAGAAACACTTCTCTATGCTCGGAATTAAGAAATCTTTTAAAATATTAATATATGTTTCTGCGTTCACGTTCTGGTATACTACGCATAGTTTCTCACTCCCTTTTTTCGTCATATAACTCCACATCGTATAGGATTGCGAACGTTTTTGTTTATAATTCGTGCAATCTTCATTAAATATTTCGTTAGATCTCCGCCAAACCTTCGTCATTCCCTGATCCAAGACAAACACGATCCTCGTCACTAAATATTACTTTGCACTAGTACTCCACAGTCCAATTTACGTGTTCCTTACACTACTTAAAGCCTTTCTTCTTGTGTTCCTTCGTGAGTAATAGTTTTGTTTTTGTCTTCCGAAATGAGAAGCCTATTTCGTCCAATCAATTTTTGACAATCACAGACACTCGAGGTCCACTGTTCATTTATTCTGCCTCGCATTCTTAACAATTGCACACAATTTTCTATCGTCTTTTCTACTTGTTGCACGAGAACGGCCACTTTTCTCACGCTTAAATACACACTGCCTATTTAATTATACTTCTTTCTTATATCATTTATCGTACTCTGTAACCGCATCTTATAATTTCCGCAACTGTTCTTCAACTATTACCTTTCTTGAGAAGTTCGATTACTCTCAACTTCAAATCGTTTGAGTACAACTTGCACGGTGGCATATTGCACACGTCCGTCTTACTTATCCACCGACTGAAATGTTTTGTATTTCAGACGCCTCAGCGGTAAAAGCGTTTGTTTATACCTTTTCACAGGCACGAGATGTGTTTACGCTTGCTTCCTCCGCCTGAGACGTTCATAGAGCTAGTTATTTGAACCATGATCGGAGACCTTTTTCCAACATTTGTACCGATCGGAAACTTTTTCACCACATAACATTTTGCTTTCTCTCTCTGGTTTCTTTTTTATAATAGATGAAACATTGTGTTATA